CAGAAAGCTGATGCCGACCTACAAAAGCTACGTTCATGGATAGAACTTGGTTCCATTCCAAGTAAGGTCTCTGTTTCAGGTGAAAGTTGTTACGTGAAGTCCCTGGTTTCTCAGTTGGACAGACTCTGCATGAAAGATGATCTTATTTGTCGAAAATGGGAAGACATGTCCACAAATCAGATATTTTATCAATATCTAGTACCTAATTCTGAGCGTCGGAGTGTCCTTCAGCAATATCACGATGGGAAAACGGCAGGACACCTAGGCATTAAGAAAACTTTGCACAAAATACGGCTAAGGTATTACTAGCCAGAACTACAACGTGACGTTCGCCAATACATTGCTGATTGTGAACTATGTGCAAAGAGAAAGAGTGACAATGTTACAAAGTGCGCACCTATGAAAATAGTACATGATATCCTATGGAAAGGATAGCTATGGACATTTTGGGCGAGCTTCCACTTACAAAAAATGGCAATAAATATATCTTAGTCGTTGCTGATTATTTTACGAAATGGACGGAGAGTTTTGCCATGCCAAACATGGAATCCCGCACAGTTGCAAGAATCTTGGTAGAAGAGGTGATTTCTCGGTTTGGGGTACCGGCAGTCTTGCACTCCGATCAAGGAAGCAATTCGAGAGCAAGTTGTTCATGGAAATGTGTTCTTTGTTAGGCATAACAAAAACACATACAACACCATACCATCCACAATCTGATGGTATGGTGGAACGATTCAATCGTACATTGACAACGATTCTTAGTAGTTTTGTAAATGAGAACCATAACGACTGGGACGAACACTTGCAATATGTTATGAATACTCATGATGGCATATCGTTCTACTATACATGAAACCACTGGGTTTTCGCCTAATGCGTTGATGCTGGGGAGGAAAGTCTGTACTCCCGTAGACATCTTATATGAAGTGCCTTCATCTATAAAACCAATACAACAGAATACATGGGTTTGGGAACTTCAAGATAGGCTTGAGAACGCCCATAAAATTGTCCGTGTCAATACAAACCAAGAAATGGTACGCCAAAAGCATTACCACGACAAAAAGTTAAACTGGGGAAAGTTTAATAAAGACGATGAAGTCTATGTTTATATTCCAAAAAGAAAATCGGGGCAGTCGCCTAAATTTACTAGCTATTGGCGTGGTCCTTACAAAGTAATCAAGAAAATGTCTGAGGTGACAAACATGGTTGACTGTGGTCCATATGGTTCAAATCAAGTAATCCATGTAGACAGAATGAGACTGAAACGCATTCAAACTTTGGTAGGAGAAAGTGAAAACATTACTGAAGGCATTCCAAGGACCGTCACTAATGAACATCTTCCAGAAAATGAGACAAGAAAAGATGACGATGAAAGTATACGTGAAGATTCTCAAATAAAAGACAGAAGTCAGGTGGAAACAAGAGATGAAAGTCAAATGCTAGACAAAGAGGCTGATTTGCCTACAAGACAATTCAGAAGTAGACGACCACCTGTTTGGTTAAAGGATTATGAGACAGATTATTAGTATTGAGTACAGTTTTCGTACCTTGTAATTTTTGTTCATTTTGTATTGACTTAATCATAGCTGAAGGGTATTGTTTGAAATAGTTAACACAGATAGTGTTCAATTTGTAAATAAAAAAAAAATAATAATAAAAAAAAAAAAACGTAAAATGTTGTTATCATTCGGGACGAATGTACCCAGAGACGTGGGTAATGTAATGTTGTTTTTGTATTGAATCAAACGTTTTGATGACCATATTTTCTTGGTAAAATGGAATAACCTTACACCCCTTACAAAAAGAACACCCTATGTGTATATAAACCCGGGATGTAGTGAATCTGTGTCTTTCTTGTTAAAGTGATCGGGGGTGAAGAAGCTGGATAGTAAGTATAAGGTTTAATAAAGGCTAAGTGTTAGGAAAGATAAGTAGGCAATTAATTCAGTGGCCCGAATAGAGCCGAAGCTGCTTTGATTGTCTGCCTGTCTTATTATTTTCCTGAGTGGTCGTCCACTGTGACTGACCATAGGGCTGACATATTAAGTCAGGGAAAATAGCTAGTGCTGGGGATAGTGGCCCGAATAGAGCCGACCTGTCTCTGGTGCTAGTCTATTTAATTAGGAAACTATAACACTTACTTATTGAAGGTCTGCCATTTATTTTTGATTCACTTCTTGATTTAACCCAAGGTAGGGACATTCAAATATATAATATAAATCTAATCAGTGATTGAGGAAAAGTATTAATTAGTTAGGCAAAGAGGTTCTACGAACTCATAATAGAGATTGACGGCAATATAGTGCCGTTACACACTGATATCAGATGCAGTATATGTGTAAAAATCTCAGATAGGCAAGCTTGTGCTAATCCAAATTTGGATTAGTAATTATTAGGCTTTTCCTTCCTCAGTGTTCTACAATATTTTAATTCAGATCATTGTGCCTTGAGTAATATTATAAACTCTGATTGAATAGCAAAAGTATATACTATTCTTTTAAATTATTAAGTGAATTTGATCAGTCCTCGATTGGTTGAACATTTACGAAATAGTGTTTACAGGACCTTAAGTATGGGGCTCATTACCCTCATAAAAATGTTGCATAGTTTATTTGATAACTTTTTAATGATACATTGCAATATTGAAATATACATAAAAGGAATATTCAAAATTCAATGTATCTTATTCATGTACTTCTTTTCTACAAACTTATCCTGGAATTATTTCTACAACACTTGGAAGAATAGAACTAGGATGACGCCTAACACTGTACAAAGTTTTGTATACTTTTAACTTTGCGATAGATCTTTCTACAAAAGATAGATGCCTAGAAACTATAGTATCACGGTCATTCTACCAAAACATGACCAATTAAGATTTTTCTATGTCGCTTACAAGCATACTGTTCTTGACTCTAAATTTTATGATCGATTTCGACCGTAAGTCTCAACATACACACTTGGTTTTGTAAATATTTACATACCAGGTATATATATGCAGTTCAAGTTTCGATAAGAAAATAATGTAATGTTGAAAAACGAATTCAACTGCATATTTTCATGTCGCTTCATTTCTTTACAATAACAACATGGAATTCTCAGCCGTAAAAGAGTCCCAAATTAAACAGACTGCGATAAATGTTAAAAAAAAGTTTTTTTCATCCTATATAAAATAAAATCTAACCACTTCTCGCAAAGAAATGCATGGGTCTTCTTTCATGTGAAATCATTGCATGTCTATAAAAATCGAATAACTTCCGTAACCACCCCCACCCCCACCACAATTACACGAACTGAATGCAGATTTCAAAAAGAACTGAAACTTATCTAGAAAGTGACCATGGAACCTTCCATCTTTGATTCTGAAGCAAGTCAGCTATTTAAGACGATTACATTTTTGAAATAACAAAATGAATTACAGAAAACCTGTTGTTTCTCTTAAAAATTTAAGTAAACTTCCGTAACGGTATTTTAGGAATGTTTTTACACTAAACATGCTAAAGGTATACATTTTTTATAATTATTAATTTAGGAGCGAAATGCTTCATACTTTTGTTTAATATCCTAAAACAAGCTTTGATTTTAACTATCGCCGAGATTTTAACTTTCATTGCTAGGGAATTAACTTCCCTAACTATATTTTTATCGAAATGTTAATTTGATTTCAGATTCAGGCAAATCTTCATAAATCGTATTTTAGCTTTCCATACTGAACATCAGACACCAAATTGGTCAAATTCAGCGTTATTTAAAAATAATAAGGCTTGATCAAGCATTAGCCTTCGTAACCTTACCTTAAAATCAATGTAATATTAAAATCGATGTAAAAAATTAACGATGCCAGATTTGTGGACATTACTTTGTTTCAAGTTCACTTATATGACCCTTAGATAATTATGATGTTCATTTTGTTTTTGGAACAATAATTTTTTCATGTTTTTTTTTATCTTGAATTGGTCCATTTATCGTAGAATGACTGATTAAAGGCCTCTTCTTAACTTTATAAGGGAAAATCATGCGACATATAACTCCTTTATAACAAAAATGGCACCAAAGCTGATGAAGGCGCTAGGTGTATGTTCCGCGGAGGACTGCTAAAAAAATATATATATATATATTGTGTGACAAATTCTGTTAATAAATTGAAAATCGTAGTATATACTTTTGCTATTCAATCAGAGTTTACAATATTACTCAGGCACACTGATCTGAATTAAAGTATTGTAGAACTCTGATGAAGGAACAGCCTAGTTACAAATCCAATTCAGAACTACTTTAAATCATAAGGTGCTGTAAACTAAATGTTCAAAATAAACGGTTTTTTTTTCATTTCATAATTGCTATTTATGGTTTCCATACTTTTTGTCCATTATCGATAGTGCAGTAGATGTTCACCCAACCGAAAATGTCCATTATTAGAGCACACCAATAATATTATTTTGTATCATCATAATAAGTAATGGTATCTAGCTAGATTAAAAGGAGATCTGATTTCTCTAAATATCATTTAAAGACTTCACAGAATTTTCAATCAAATCAATATAGAAAGAGAAATTGTTACATAAAAGGATATCAATTTCAAAATTCAATTTTGAGATTAAGTTAATTAAAATATTATTTAGAGCTATCTTTCCATGTTGAGGTGGAGATATCCTTAAAGTGCAGATATATTCAAAATTTTGTAAACATCTCCCATATTTCAAGAGCGTTATTTAAGGTATTCACTTACTAATCTCATTTAAAAGGGAATTTAATATCAGAATACGAAGCTCACCCCCACCTCCACCCCCCCCCAAAAAAAACCACGATGGAATGAGACGTGCTTTGTTTTTGTTTTTTTTAGGGGGGGGGGGGGTTGTTCCTATTATATCTTTTTTAAAATAAGATTACAAATAGACTTTATTTCTATCAATGAACGTTAAGTAGTAAAAATATTGAAAACATAAATAACATAAATTGAGTTTAAAGAAATTAGCCTAACACCTTTTAATTCCTCAAAAATAACAATTATAGCTGTTCCCTCCATTTGACCGTACACCACATCCTTGACATCTTCCCCAGATTTGGCCTCCAAGAAGTTGATAAGCCCATCCTCTGATGTTTCTGGATTGAAACCTTTAATCAGTACTCTGTCTTGGTACATTGGTACGGGTTTGGGCGGCTGGTAAAGTTTGACTTGTAAAGTGGCTCCATCAACTCTATGCTCTCGCTGGAGAACTCTCCTAACAGCTTTGAGATAAAAGGTATAATATGCTTAAATACGCGAGTTTCGAGATTTCAATTATAGGGTACTTGAAGACGATAGAAACGTCGTAGTCTTTATAAAAAGTAGACGATTTTCTTGATTATACAAACATTTTCTAAAAAGTAATTAGATTTTTTGAAAGTTTAATAACGAAAAGAATCAATGTGTCATTTAGATTGCCGACGTGCTATGCTCAAATACCGTACCGTATTTATCAGAGGTCCATATATCTCTTTCGTCGTCTGGAAAGACTCACATCCACTGAAATTTTCTTTTTTTGTTACGATTTTTTACTTTAAAATGACGCCTTTACATTAATTCGGTTTTTTTGAGTTGTAGAGTGCATCCTGATTAATTTAAACAATATTTTATTATGAATTAACATACCAGTAATAGGATTGGACAGCAGGCACTGCCTATATAAGTCCTTTTTACAGTGAATCCTGATAATCATGTAGTCATGATAAACTAGTATATCCACGATGCAATGTATCCAATATATAAATATCTGCCCCCCCCCCCCTCAACAAAAGAGCGCACCAAGGGAGAAAATCTCGAAACTTGCATATAAAAAGTATACAGCAGATCATGATATTCTCGCAATACCTTATTTTACCACGAGATTATAATAAGCAGAATAAAAATATTTGCGAAATTAATTTTTTTGTTAATAAATTTTATCTACTCAGATAAATGCAATAATAACAAGCATTCTGAGAGTATTGCATAAGCAATACATGTCCCCTACCTGGTTCCCCTTTTTCTTCAGGATGTCATTTTTTAATGTGCAAAAGTCATGTCCAAGGTTAAACTGAAAGATTTTCAAGTTGTAAATGCCTTAAATCTAATAAAATAATAAACATTAAGACGACAATTTAAATCATTTATCCATCGTCTTTTCCTCGCTTCATATTTTTGTCGACAATCGGAAGTTAGCGCAGTTCGAACCCGATCTTAATTAAGCGGTTATGAAAAATGCCATAATTCTGTCAAAAATCAATGAAGCAAAACGAAATTCAAACTTGATCTGTAACTCATTAGGATAGACTCACGTACCAAAATTCCGCTCAATATCTGCAAGCGTTTAGAAAAAAAGTGCGGAAAACCAAGTGGGAATGAAAAATATTCAAAATGCCATAATTCTGTCAAAAATCAATGAAGCGAGACGAAATTCAAACTTGATCTGTAACTCATTACGATACACTCACGTACCAAAATTCAGCTCAACATCTGCAAGCGTTTAGAAAAAAAAGTGCGGAAAACGAAGTGGGACAGACTGACGGGGACAGACAGACGGACAGACAGACAGACAGACGGACGGACGGACGGACGGACGGACGCAGAGGAAACCTATAGTCCCCTCCGGTTTCACCGGTAGGGGACTAATAATAATTTTTGCAAGTCCTCGCGAAAAAAAATATTTATTTACATTAATTTAAATCAATTATTTTTTCAAGTATAGAAAAGAATCATTATAACGTTAGCAGTTTCTGGATAGAATTTGATAGCAACAATTAGGAAAAAAAACTATACAGTCTAGTTGCATTGAGACATACATCTCAACGGTTTTTCTTAGTAGAATAGAATGAAAGAACATGAATTAGCACGTTTGCTAATTTTGTAGGCGGATATTGTGGCGTCATTTGATTAAAGTAATATATCTCTTACCACTCAGTATGAGATTTAAGAAGTGATTTTCAAATCATATAACATACTTTCCTCATCTTCAAATGTGACATACAGGACTCCATCTTCCACTTCACCTTTGATCTCTACCAGATCTCCACCTCCTGACTTCCTCTTGTTGTCAAAGTATAGTTCTACACTATCTATGGATGTTGTTTCCCTCATACCTCTAACCTCTATGGTACACAAAGGGCCTGAAACCTTCTCTGCTCCTTTTTTGTTCACATTCACCTCATATATCCTTACTTGTTCCACACCAATTTGTTTTTTATTGAAAAGAAGTGGAGCTTTCTGAAGAACACTTGAAATAACTGGGAACAAAAAGAAAATCATTGCACCACAACATACCATGATTTAATAAGAATTTAATGACAAAAATTAATTTTAATCAAGATTTTGGGAACTAATACGTACCCTCAACATCCTTAAACCACACAACAGCACTGTTGGTCACTTCATCATACTCCACTTTTTCCACCTCTCCACCTCCACTCTTCTTACGATTTTCAAAGAAGAGACTTATTTGTTCCTCTGAAGTTCCTGGAGGGAGCTTTGTGACCTTTATTGCCCTTCCCTCCTGATCCTGTAAGATGATATCGTTGTCATTTTTTGCAGTACTATATTCCTCCACATCTATTGTTTGCTTGTTTATAATAAATGGTGAGTTCTTATGTTTCAGTAGAACACTTGCTACAGCTACAAAACAATTGTATCAAATGAAATTTCCTTAAAATGGCAATCCAGGGAGAGAAATGGCTCTTATATGAAGGTACAGTTATTAACTTACAATCAGCTTCTTTAAACCATACAACAGCACTGTTGGAATCTAACTCTATCTTTGTCACTTCTCCACCTCCACTTTTCCTAGGATTCTCAAAGAACAGTTCTATCTGTTCATCAGTTACTTTCGGGGGCAGGTTTGTGACCTTGACTGCAATGACCTTTTGCTCCTCGTGGTCAGCTTCACCCTCACTCTCACTGCCTGCTAATGGATAATACTCTTCAATTTCTATTTGCTGTTTGTTCATCACAAGAGCTGAGCTTTTTTGTCTTTGCAAGACACTTTTCACCACTGAAAAAAAATGCAAACAAAATTACTTAGAGAGAGAGAAAAAGTCTTACTTTAATTGACTATAAAACATTTAGTAGAAAGAATTTTTTGCAACTTGATTGGAAACCTTGTTTTAATCTAAGCTTCTCCTATCAAGCAGCTACATTGCAGCATATTGTTCAATACTGTAGTTCTATTGTACACTTGTGTAGCTGCCACAATCTTGACTGTAGCTCTGATCTGATCTGAAAGCAATGCCTGACTAATCAAATTCATTTCACCTACCTCCAGCCTCTTTAAACCACACAACAGCACTGTTGGTCACTTCATCATACTCCACTTTTTCCACCTCTCCACCTCCATTCTTCTTACCATTTTCAAAGAAGAGACTTATTTGTTCCTCTGAAGTTCCTGGAGGGAGCTTTGTGACCTTTATTGCCCTTCTTTCCTGGTCCTTTTCTCTAAGATGATATCGTTGTAAAGACTAAATTCAATCTGCTGCTCGTCCTCTAAAAAATATAACTCACAGTATTGATAAACTGATTCTTGTATCTTCTCTTAGCGATAACTTTGATTAGGTGTAGAGTATTTGACATCACTGGCAGCTGCTTTTTCAATAAAAATTATTCTATTAATTTACTAACTTTGTCATTGGTCTTTTGCAAAAATATTCTGTTAAATAAGAGGGTCATGGGCCTTTTAAGTTATCTCAACAATGTAAGCACAACTTTCCAATCATTATGAATTTAGTTCATGTTTAAACCAGAGGCCATGGCATTAACAACTTTGAAAGTAGTGCTCACTGCTCATCATATGAGAAATGATGGTTTCAAAATTGTAAGCATTTTTGTAGCTAAGCATGCTATACTCTTAGCATGTTTGTTTGGTGACTTAATATCAATAGGCACAGAAGAAGGAAACAATACAAAATACTTAACTCCAGGTACATGTACATGTAGTTATTGACAAAAATCTTTTACTATTTGCGAACTTCTTAAATGTACCGTTCACCATTTATTTAAATGCAGCATTGACAAAGTGGTCGAAGAACACTCTGTTCTAGAAGACTATCATTTCAGCAGAGATAATTATAGATTAATATTTTTACTATTTGATCTTGGACTTTGAGTTAGACCCACTTCAAAAAAAAATAATCTTGGCTCTAATGAATTGTCCGTCTCCTGTGTATCATAATTTGACCCTGACGTTTGATGTGTACTTTAATACGTTTTAATAAGCGTTTATCTAATATAATCACTTTTGAATGGTTGGTTCTTGGGCTTTCATATTTCAAAAGTATGAGTATTGTTTTATATCCGAAAAAAGGTTATAAAACACACTCATAAATTAACATTTTTGCCAGGCCCGTAGGAAGCAATTTGTGTTAAGGGATGGGGTTGGGGCACAGCCATACCCTTTCAATTGAGGGCACAATCAACTTCCGAAAATTCCTTGTCTAGCAAAAAAAAAAAAAAAAAAAAAAAAAACTCACTTAGAAATTCTTTTGATGTTAGTCAGGAAAATAAAAACAGTAATCCTATCCAAAAATGAAAGTTTTGTTTCTTAGGGTGGATTAATTTTAAAATCATACAAAAGGTGTATTCGCTTACAAGGGATTTAGAGATTAGTTTCGCTCGCATACTCGGTCCACTAAGATAGCGAGTATGCGAGCGGATCTAAATTTTACTAGATTGTTTTATTTCTTTGAAGAACTCAGGGGTCAACTTACCTCCTTCCCCGTTTAACGACCACACATGTATATGATGGAATCTTGTAATAGATAGTTCTTGTGGTACTTCATTTAAATTAAAGAAGAAAAAGAAGAAAATGCCGTAGATGGGATTTACGACTGACTCTTAATTTAAGATATTACTTTCGATTTCTCACCATAAGACCTACATGTATCTTTAGGTACTCCCAAGTTACCATAAAATGTCCCAAGACACGTCTATCATAAGCACGCCTACAGAATTGTTCAGAAAGTACGTGGACTTCTTCTGTCATATCTTTTATTTGACGTTGTATATTATGTTACTGGCCCTGTGTGTATACCCACATAAAACGTTGATCGCTTATTATTGCCCTTTTCAATTCCAGAGGTCATAAGAATTTACACTACCTGTCCAACCGTGGATTTACCCTTCATGAAAAGATATTTTAATTAATGATTATTCTCTCTATGTCAAGGAGGAATGCAACATCAAAATTTTATTCTATAGATCTCCGAGTCATCTCTTTAAAAACAATGGTTTCAGCATTGCAAGGCTAATATTAAATCCGAGTTATTTTTGTTAATTTTTTTTTCTTAAAGAAAATTAAAAATTAGAAATATTTTCAAAGGACATGAATGCCTCACCGAGGATATATTAGTAAAGCATGAAAATTTGTATGTGTCTAAAATTTGATCAATTTGGTTCAGGTAGGACTTATATTTACATTTACTAGGGAATGAAAATGTAGTCAGATCCAGCATCCGAAGCAAGTCTGGTAGTTTACATCCCTAGCTGCATCATCCATGCAAGTTTGGCTCAGATAGGGTTTATAGTTAACTGCTCCAAAAACTAAAACCTGGTCAAGCATCTGGAAAATGTAGGTTTGATCCAGCATCCGAAGCAAGTCTGGTACTGTTCATTCCTAGATGCATCATCTGTGTAAGTTTGTATCAACATGAATTGTGAAGTTTGATAACACCACCTTGAATGGTATGTTTAAAATGGAGCTAAACAATAATTTTAAAAAAGTGAGGTCAAGGTCAAAGGAAAGGTCGAGGTAAAAAAATGTTGATGCAGTTGCATAACTCTCATCAATATCTATAAGCCCGTGAAGTTTGATGAAAATATCTTGGATAGTTTCTTTGAAACTTAGCTTTGAACAGAGCTAAATGCAAAGTGTGACGGAAGGACGGAAGACGGACATGAAAAACACAATATGCCTAGGCCATATTCATGGCGGGGCATAAAAATGTCTTTTTTGCAAATAAGTTTTTTAGAAGTCGCTGTAAATAATCTCATAATATGAATGTTTCATAAAATATATAAAGAAAGGTTGGATATACTTAATCATTTTTTCAAGTGAAATATTGTTGATGAAATGAATTATATTTTTTTTTTGGTGAATATTTTTTTAATTTATGGTTAAAACTCCGCAAAAAGGCACGGCTAGGGAGAATATGATAGTCAATCACATTTAAAAAGAAATTGAAATAAGCGTGTTAAATTTCAAGAATTTTTATTAAGACAAAACTCGTACAAATAATATTAATTTTAAATTTCCCGCACCAAGGAAATTTTGTGCTATTTTCTGTTCCATTTCCACTCTATTTTTCTTATTTTGATTCTGAGCTCTCTGTAAATCAGAAAAAAGATAATTGTCCGCTCAATTTTTTTTTCGATGTCCGCACAGAAAGTTTGCCTAAAAATGTTAGAATACTTGTATTATTATTTAAGGATATACGATCCTCAGCCAGGAAGGATAACTCTTTACTGTATAATTTAATTCAAAAAGTCTTAAAATAAAGCTTGAAATTTTTTCATGCAACAATTTTTATTTTATGCCTCTACATATGATTCAATGTTCTTTAAAGTTTTAAAACGGTATTTAAAAAGTTGACATTTGTACCTCATAAAATTGAGTATAACTTGCATATTTTAAAAAAAATCATTTTTTTTTTAAATTTAGCCTTAGTTACCAATGTTTTTAAGCAAGATTTGAAATAAGAAGTGATTTACGGTGTTTTCTTTGAAAGGAAACACTTCATACACTATGCATTATGAAACGTTGGAAGTAAGTAGGAGAGAGTAAATCCAAATAATTGAAAATTCATGCAATTTTCTTTAACACCCCTACTAATGTTATTGTGCTTTAAATTCAAGACACGTGGTGTAGGTTGATCTATTCAAAGGTTATAGGGTAGAACCGGTTTTATAAATTAAATCGGCAGTAAACATGATATTGCTATAGCCTGTTTCTTTTGAAAAGATGTCCTGTAATAAATGTTTCCAGACCTTTCTGAAAGACTTTCATGATTTTCAACAGAAAAAGGGTGACTAAAGGAGGCCCGGGTGTTAAAATAACAATATATCTTATACTTTTCGGCGAAAATTAGAGCTCACTAGTGACCCATTCGCTGGTAAAATATGTGCATTATCATCTACACTGACAAACCTTTGTTTGCCTTATATGGTTATATTGTTATAAATTCGCACAGGGGATCTCACCACAAGCAGCTGACCAATCGTTGAATGAATAGCAACGTTACACCAAATACATGTTTACATTTTACTTCGAACACGTAGTTCAGGTCAATCTATGATCATGTTAATGGGCTGCAATATAAAAGAAATGAACAAAATACAAAGACAAGTAAAACTGATGCAAAGCATCAAATCGGCCGCAAACAAAATTTAGCATTTCAAAAAGTACTTTCACAATTTTAAAATATGGAGGGAAAAAACAACTTATTCAAAGCTGAAATAGTGGATCTTTTTTTTTTTTTATTTCAGACTGTCTTCAAAGCAAAAGAAGTAATTTTAAATAATTTTAAGAATTAAATAAATAGAATTATTAGTGTATTTGTTCATCAAATGAATTCCTTAAAATAAAGCCAATGATAAATGATAAAAATTTATCGTCATCAAAATGAAGATTTAGGCCTCAAAGTGAACCACGTACTGATACCCTAGATCTTTGTCACGTGATAATGCCGATTTCTGCAGAGTAGGTTATGCTTCGAGGCACGGTGCAAAATGTAGAAAAATTATCATTGTTCCATTCGCAACAGTGAGCTGTAACATATTTAGAACAATTTTTACTACTTGAACAACTTTTAAATTTTTATTCACCATGCACTTTTATCACGTCATTTTTATCCGGAAAATCGTGACGATTTGCTTTCAAATCTTACACACTCCCAGGGTGGGGAGTACTTATTATAAACTCTTTTTATATAACCATAAATTATCAATTATCTGATGAGAAATTGTAATGAGATTGAAGCGTAATAACTACAATTAATACTTAATTTAAAGCAAGTTTTTAAAATATTTTACTCATGATATAATACATGTTATCATATAAGAATTATTTTACTCTAAAAATAAAAAAATAACGTCTCATTTCCCCATGTGCACATTCTAACACAACCACAAATAGATCGGCCGCTGCTGCGGCCGATAATAAAAAACTATGAAAGATGTTATGGGCGTTTTTAATTTGTTGTTGAATGAAAAAAAAAGTTTAACAAAATGTAGTTTGTGTCTAGTTCAGAACACAAGCGCTTCAAGGGTAAGGAAAACGAGCAGCATCTCTTATGCATTTAAATGGACAAAACTTTGTTTACGTTCGTGATCACGTTTTCGGCCAGGGAATTCACCTGGCAATTGTATTCACCGAAAGTACAACGAAGACATTAATACAGACGCAAATTACTTTTGCCGTATGACTTCAGAAACCTAGACTTCCGCTGTTTATTTAACAAATGAATTGTTTGTTATTATAAGCATGAAAATAATATTTTTAAAAATGCTTTTCATTTACCATAAGATTTTCCTTTTTTTTCAAGCGTAAAATTCCTGTAGTATTCGTAGTAACCCATAATGCAATACTCATTCAGCTGATTGGTCAGTTAAAATCGTGCTGGTGCCTCATTTGCTAATCTGACGCCAAAAAATATAGTCCGGGTTCCCATGAAAAAATATTTGTCCAAAAAGAAATTTGAATTCATGACTGCAGAAAATTGTATTATAGAGAATACTTATTTAAGTTTGAATGAATGTAAAAGATATCGATTGACTGAAGTACATTTCAAAATACATTATCAGCTGATTCTAGGGTGGTGAAAACTGAAACGCAACATAACTTTTTTGTTTACCATGCCTCCACGTGCTAGTCACTTCCTAGCCACATTTCCATGAATAATTTACCCTATCTCGCTGAAGTCTCCCTAACTCTCGCCAGAGCCACTGCCAGAGCTACTCTGAACTCATCGGGTTTTATAATTTGCAGAATACCGAAAAATAAAAGGTTCCGAACACATTAGTAGGGGTGTTTAAAAGCCTGGATACCTATGACTTTTATTCCTAAAATGCATTTCTTGATCAATTATTGATTAAAAAATATGCCGTAGGTAGTTCAAATCGCATTTCCTGAAAAAATATTTGAGATTTACTAATTTTCCCTATATAATATGATTAAATTTAAAGATGAAGTTTAAAGAAACACCGTGGGTAAATACATTTTAATTTGAGAATTTAGAGACATCTTTGTGAGTATTTTCAATAACTCAATGCCTGATTTTCAGAACCTGAGGATTGGTTAACCTTAACCGCTTAAGAATTGAGAAATTTATTTGATTGTCAATTTCAAATATTATTTAACCATTCACTTATTTTATATAATAAACTAGTATACTTGGGAATATGCCATTTATATCCAATTCTCATGCTTGTGATCGGTTTACTTTTTATCGGGGTTGGACAATCATTTTTTGCATTTCGTTATATATTTTATTAGATGTATTCATCTGTTCATTTTTTAAGGTATTCATTTACAGCCACCTTTTTTGAGCATACTGTAAATAATTTGACTCAAGGATACTATGCACGAGTTTTGTTGAAATAGGCCTAGTGGCTCTGGAGACGAAAAAAAATGTAAATTAAGTTAACGACAACAGACAATTTTGTTAAGAACATCTTCATTTTTAAACTTTGGAAGACTTATCCTTTCTGGTTGGGGAGCGGATATCCAAAAAAATCTCATGAACATTAATCTTTCAATATTAAGCCTACCTGTAAATTGAGCATCATTGCAAATAACGGCAACTTGTGCTCCACCCAGTCCACAATTTTCTTTCTATTAAAGGAAAAAAATAAGTCATCATCTATACATTATACTTCATTTTTCCGTATTTTTTTTTTTAATAATTTTCGAAAATTATATCTCATTTCAATCTCAAAGACTTGAAATTGAAAGGTTTGTTATCGTCGTATGTTCTATAACAAAGCTACTCTTTTTGTAATTAAATATGGATGGTAATTTGAAATTAATTTTATTTGAAAAAATTAAATATTACATATATATTGTTAAAATTATTTGAATTTATTTGAAAAGCACAGGAGACATCCGATCAGCCAGGGGCTCCTAACATTAAGCTTGCTAAGGTTTTGACTTAAGTAGGGTCGTAAGTATGGTTTAGGCACAATTTTAGGACCTGTCTAAGTACTACTTAAGTATGTCTTAAACCGTTATTCCGAGATCCCCTACAGATCAGCCTAAGGTGAATGCCCTCAGTATCCATGCATTGCCGGAGGCACTGTAGGAGTCTTGATAGTGCAGAGGCTTTGTACTGGCAAGGAAAGAATTACGCACTCGACTCCCCCTTTCACGTACAAGTAGGCTAGCCAGCGGCGACAGAAGATCTACAGGTCAATCCCCATCATACTAGACGCTTTTCACTACCCAGTGGAACCAGTGGAACCACCACCAATGCAGAATCGGGAGCAGGGATGGGTCAATTACTTTCAAAAGTAATCGATTAAATTACAATTACTTTGGATTTCAGATAATCGATTACAAGCTGATTACAGATATTTTCTAAAGTAATCAATTACCGCTGACGCGGGTTAAAGATTTTTTCTGCAAAAGCTGCTTCCGTTAATTCCAGTTATAACAAACAAAGAAAGCATTTTTTGTATAAGTAATCAAAAAGTAAGCATGATTACATGACTTTTTTTTCAGAGTTATCGATTAAATTACGATTACATGTTATCAGAAAAATAGGTGATTACTGATTACTTATGATAACTTGACAAACTGTAATCGATTACAGCTGATTATGACTGATTACGATTATCCCATCCCGTGTGGGCATCTTCATTCTTCAATGGCACCTGATTCCATCTCTGATGTTTAAGAGAACCTTGTTTGCTCTGCTCCAATTTTGTATTGTTTAATGGACCTTGAGATTAGATACTATTTGCTATTTCCATATATTTCATGCATGCAACTGTATCCAAGCCCCATTACGTTGGAAGACATTTCTCTAGCGACTTAAGTCTACATTCCAAAAACAAAAGAATCGAACATTTTGTTTGCGAAGAACTTGCTATTGAAAGAATAAATACCTGAAGAAATAAAACAAACAGGCGTTATAGGCAAAAAGGCGTCTTTTGAAACATGATTTCTATGACGATGAACCTAAACATTTCTTACACTGCGCTTGGAGCAATGAACTGCGTTAGTCTCCAACTAGCTGCAGATCTGTAGCGTTATGGTTTTATATATTTGTCTTTGACAGATCTGTAGCGTTATGGTTTTATACATTTGTCTTTGACCATATCGCTACAGATCCCGAAATGCAAAAAGGTGCAATTTACGGCGCAATATTTTTTGCACGCTTGTGAGGAGAATTTCCCCACTTTCCAGCATTGGTCAATTAACTACCTTTCATTCCCTAATTCTAGGCATATTATTTAATAAATTTGTATATGTATATATATATTTGTATATGTTGTCCATCTCCAAACTCATTATAGTCGTCTTTACAAATGATAAACTTACTTGATTTAATTTATTTGTAAGATTGCTGAAAATTCACTTCAGGCGAGTTTATTGCCTGTAGAGACAACTAAAAATGTGTCGTTTACTAATTATTGAATTAGATTGTCGTGTACTCATTATTTGAATTTCTAATTCAATAATTAGTAAACGACAAATGGTTGGGAGATTGATAATATATACATATTAGCTACAGAATATGTCTAGAATGAGGTAGTGAAAGGTATATTAACTGACTAATGCTAGAAAGTGAAGAAAAAAAGTGCGCAAAAAATATTACGCCGTAAATTGCACCTTTTTTTGCATTACTGGATCTGTAGTGTTATGTTCAAAGACAAATTAAATATATAAAACTATAACGCTACAGATCTGCAGCTAGTCTCCAACCACATATCAATTCTGTAGAGATTAAAATGATATTAAAGTGAATAGAACTATTACTTGAAAATTCTTAGAAATTATGGAGTGCTGTAAAGAGAGGTAATAATTCTTTTTAACTTATAAGAAGGCTCGTCCTGCATGTTAATTCATATAGACAGCGACTACAAACATAAGTCCTTAAAATCAATACTTTCTAGGTTGTAACAATGCAGAAAAAGATTTGGTAAATTGAACTTAACAAAAAACTTAGGAAAATAAAACCTTCACAGGTATAGACATCGCATCTTTTAAAATACTGACAATCACAGACAATGCAGTTCGCAATTTATAATTCAAAATCTTAACATCTTTTATTATAGGGTCTGAAATAGGGTCTGAGTAGGTATTAGAGGCTATTTCTTCGAAAATAAAATGGTAATGATACCATCTCTAGTTTCCGAGATATGGCCCTCCAGTTTTTAAGCCTACTATATAATATTGTAGGAATAAACATTATTCTCGGGGATATTAAAGTCCCCTGTTACGGTGTCTGAAATTTTGGCTGAAAAACTAAAGGGCTATATGTATTATACACGTCTACATGCTCGTAAATTAATCCACATATGTTTACGGAACATTATTTACAATACTGACCTCTAGCATAAAACAAACCAAACAGTAAAAACTGACTGCATGTACCTACACTTTTCATTTTTTCAATATGAAATGAAATCTAATTCTTTTAAAAGTTTGCCTACCTTAAACCAATCTTCAGGAATATCTATTGCATCACTGTCTGTAATCATAAGCGTAATCTTTCCGACATTGTATGGACTCATATATTTCAACCACCAATGTGCCTCTAAAAAAAATTAATTAGAGATATCGTACACTGTACAATGTTAACATCACGTGGTTCTACATTGCCAAAAATTTTACAAAAAATGTGTCTAACTTAGCCTCTTTTAAATCTTTATATTTCAAAATAATTTGGCGTCTTCTTTATGTTAACCTCATTAATCCGGACGCTTTGGTTCCTACTCAATTTGACCGGATATGTGAAACGTCCAGATACTTGAATTATCAGTTAAACAGGACAAAATAACATTTGAAAATTCTGTTCCGAAAAAGCGTCCGGATACTGAAGGGTCTGGATATCTAAAAGTCCACTGTAGTTTGAATGGATTTTGATCTTCAACGCTGGGCGTTATCTTTATATTTCATTTATTACAAGTATAATGTATATAAGTACTTGTATATACCACAAAAAGCGTATTTTGATATAAAAGAAAAAGTACTTTTCAACTTACCCTGAGAATCTGAAAACAGGACAATCCATGCAGATCCATCTCTCTTTTGATGTGCCCTTTGACATGGCAATAAAGATGTCACGTTCTTTTCAACTGTGGTTATAGGAAATCCTGTTATAGTCACACATCGCTCTCTTAAATCATCTTTAAAGGTTCTCAGATTCGCTCTGCATACTGAACAGTTCGCCATTTTTTTTCCAAATCAAGCCATGTTTATCAAGCCTGATACTTTATCATACATTATAGAGAGTACTGGCAATCCGCCAGAATGACTTTATGGGTCTACTGGAAAACAAACAATATTGTTATCAATGTCTCTTTTAAACTTCCTTCTATAAAAAGGTACTTGGACACAGATAAGAAGTAATTTTTTCTGAATAATATCACGAATTATATATATTTATAGCAATTCATACAAAAATTAATTACAAATTTTATTTCGCTTAAAAGTTATTAAAAAATTCCACTTTTTTTGCAGCTTTGATCGACACATCCTTCCACTTTCACAAATTTTAACTTATTCTTAATCCTTAGGAAAAGTGGCAATATTGTTGTGTATTAATGTGAAATATGAAAACCTAAATCCAGAAAAATATCAAAAATTATATGTTACGATTATCATTAACATTTATTACACAGTTAAAGATAAAAGCCTGCTAAATACAGTAATAATCTGATAACAATTATCAAGACAAATATTCAATCAAAACACAGTATGAAGAAATGCAGTATTATGCGTCGAAGTTTAAGATTTAATTTTCGACACTTCAGATCAAGGAGAACTCAAAACTTAATAATTTTTTCATTAAAGGACATAAACCTATAAATTATGAAAAAAAAGAGATTAATGTAGTTGACTTTTAGCCTATGTCGCTGAGCCTCATTAATGCATTTGCTTATTACATGTGTATGTTTTCTCTTAAAGGTCATACTCGTGAAACAGTGTCCTGAGCATTTTTGGATGTAAACGGAAATGAATTCATCTGAGCAACATTGATGAGCCTGAAATAACATTTCGGATTTTTTACGAAAGTTGGAGGCAGCAGAGTAGATCAAAGTTATTTGAAGATGAACTTCACCTAGTGCAGCTTATCTCCCTTTGCTTATGACGTCAGTAAAACCCACTCGCTACATTCAGTACTAATATTTATATAGCCGATCATGTCTGATGCAGCGTGATTTTTAAGAAATATTATTGTCTTGACTTAAACTTTGCATAAATATATTATTTTCAAAACAGATAATGTTTGTCTTTTAACATCCTGTCGCATGTTTGCAAGATTTTAGCATGTTTCATCCGTGTAAATTTATTGTCATCCGTCTACATTTCAATATAATGAGAGAGAGAAAAAAAAAACAAAGTCTAAAGAAAGCATTACTTCTGTACTCGGGTTAAATATAAATATATTGTAAAATCGCATTTACAGTTGAATAAATTTATAACACAAAAATATGATTTGTAAATTTTCCAATTAATTTTTTAAAGCACGATCAGATTATGAGCACTGTTGATTACATATGTCTATAATTTAATTTTGATTTTATTCTAGTCTCTCATTGGTTGATTTCGAAAAAGGAACACAAGAATAAAACGTAATAACCTGGTTTGGTATGGGGACACACCCCCTTGACAACCAGCTGATTCATCTAGCTGTATCTATGCAATCCCACATTTCCAGTCCTTGGATTTACATGGAAAATTCTAAATTTCATAAATGTACTTTTAACTTCAAACAGGAGCTCGCTCTTACCTCGTGTAAACAATCATCATGGCTGCTAGATCTGTGTATCAGTTATTACGTCCCCTTGTTTCAAATCACTTCCGTTACTAGGGATGTATTATTGAGCGGCAAATTTGAACTCATAAAAAGCAGCACAATTTTACATCCACAGTTGTTTTTATCTAAAAATTTTATTATAAGGAATGACTCTAATTCTTGGCCAAATTATTCGATTATAACCTGGTTTGGGTCATTTTACGCTTTTTTATAATCCGCTTCGCGGATTATAAAGTGTAAACTGACCCAAACCAGGTTATAATCGAATAATATGGCCAAGAATTAGAGTCATTCCTAAAATATACTCGATCGGTAGCACGTGCATATTGCTAAAGCTGGATTCAATTGACAGCGCTGTGTGAAAGTGAAACTAAAGCTGTGGATAAATGATTTCATTTATTTAAGAAAAATGACATGATTCTATTGCTTCCTCGTCTTCTCCTCTCTCAATTATTCCTCACTCTTTCTTTGGCGTTCGCTTTTTCATTGACTGTTTCTTATCCCATATTTTTTTTTTACCAAAATCGGTATTTCTTAAATGTCGTAATAATTTTAAAAAGTCAGACTTTAAATGCAATTCTTTCTATGTAATCCTACGTTTCTGTGTGTAAACCTGTTTACAGATCAAATTTTCTAAGTATATCAATTTATTTTCACCAAGATTATATACTGCTTTAAAAAAAATTTAACTGCAAAAATATTAATTTTTGAAATTGTTTAGGTTCAGTCTCGCAAACAATGGTCATTCAGGGCATGGGTTTCTTTTTAGCCGATCATCTTATGCACGCACCGTATGGGTATTTTCAAACTGTAGTTACTCAATCAAACTGTTATAGAAGTGTCCGCACCGTAACATTACAGTATATGTACATTAACGTGCATATACTCGTAATGCTGGTAAGTTTTTTAAATCACGTTTCTTGTGACAGGAAAATTACGATGATGTCGTAATAAACCTCACATTTCTATAAATCATTTTTATTAGTTCTTATGTTTTAGATTTCAGAAGCGTGCATTCAAATATTCCAATATGTTTTTTACAGATCCACGTTTATCGATCATGAACTTCAATATCCCCGTGGATATATAGGAAAAAGGGGTGGGGTTGTTACTTCATTTATCATATACATACAGCTGTATACGTATAAAAACAACAACAACAAAAAGATTGTTGTTTCTAAGGTCTTAATTTAAAATAAGTAATCTTGGTTGGGTTGAACCTTGATTTTAACGGGGTTTTCATCAGTATCATCGTACAATGAAAAGCTCTCGTTTTCAGTTGAACATTGTGCCCAATTAACTATAAGTTCAAATGAAGTAAACTGTTCTTTAAAACATAATCACATTTATACCCACAAAAAAAACTAAAATTAACTCAATAAATTGCAGTAAAATTACACTAGATCTAGTGAGTTGTTTAAATCAATGGGTCTTTGTGACGTCATATAAACACAAAATCAAGAACGATGAGCGGGTATAACAAATTTATCAAGTGGACAAGTTTAGGCCTTCATCTTTCTGTTCAGCAACTTATAGCAATTTTTTTAACGAAATATAATTTAACATTCTTTCATATCAGTCTTTATGTTTATATGGTAAAATCCTAGTGTTATGAACTGTTTCGTCTGACCTTTAATTATGTCCATTGAGTTCCTTCATGACATAGAACAAGGTAAAACTGCTTGATTTTGAAGTTGTGAATGCCTTTACATAGCCTAACAAAATAACGTCTTTTTCTCGCTTCATATTTATGTAAATATTAGAATTTAGCGCAGCACGATCGAACAAACTCTTTTACCATTATGAAAAATAAAAAAAAAAATGCAATAATTTTGTCATCAACCAATGAAGTAAAATGACAGTTTAACTTGATCTGTAATTCATCAATACATATGAACATTCACATACCAAAATACAGCTCAATATCTACAAGCGTTTAGAAAAAGGTGCGGGAAACCAAGAAGGACAGATTGACAGACAAACGGGGACAGCTAGAAAGACGGACGGACGCTTAGGAAACCTATAGTCCCCTCCGGTTTCACCGGTAGAGGACTAATAATTTTCTAAGCATATTATTTAAAACAAGTAAACTCAACCAAAATATATAGCGTTCGAGAGAGATGTAAATATTCTCAAATATGATGAAATAAACAGAAAATGGATGTCTGGATTGTGTAAAATATCAAAATAAATTCTTGAAAAAGTCCCCAGAAACTTTAAACCCAGAAAAATTCATATATTTTATTAACTTTTTAAAAAACAGGTTGAACTGTTAAGTTGCATATTTGAACTTTTCACCAAATTAATTCATTTTGCCTTAGCCATACATTAACTTTAAAGTTTATAAAGAAATACCACTTCTAAATTGAGAAAATCATCTAATTTAACCAAAACTTCTGAATTTTGAAAGAAAAAAAGTTTGTGTTATTATGGACTATCATATTTTCCATGTTATATTTACACCAGTCTGTACAATACACACATGTATATATATAACAAGCATTCTAAAAGTATTGCATTAACAATACTTGTCCCCTACTGACAACTGAGATTAATTTAAATCTAGTTAAAAATTGAAAATGCCATTATTCCATAAAAAATTGATGAAGTGGAACGAAGTACAAACTTAAAATTCACCTTCCAAAAATTAGCTTAATATCTCCAATTATTTAGAAAAAACATTGCAAAAACTGTTAAGGATTTGAAAAGGCCGTAATTCCTTAAAGAATTGAAGCGAAAAATGCAAACTTTAACTCAATCAAGATCTTCAGTACCCTTGTACCAAAAATCAGCTCAATGTCTTTAAGCATTTAGAAAAAAGTGCGTAAAACAACTTGGGGATACAGAGACAAACAGCATGGCAGCCAGACAGCCGGACAGAGGCAGAGGAAACTTATAGTGTTCTCCAACTATATCAATTTATTTGATTAAAAAAATGGTTTGACGGTAGCCATGAAATATCAGATTTAATATTTTCATGCTAATTTTTCGTGTACGTATATTCAATTATATGTTTGGGGGGTAAAATTCGCTCTAAGGGAAGAAAATCTCCCCCTTTAACTAATACACAGAGTACACTCCATCCTCCCCACCCCGGAAAATTGATTTTAGTGTGGGAATCCGTAGGGGAATTCAACTCTAGATTTTCCAGTTTTCCGAGGGAAAATTTTACTCTAGAGTCAATTTTCCGTAGGAAAATATTTTAAAGATGAAGCAAACTCTACAAGACCGGAACCAAATACGTGTTACACAGGTAAGATTGCAACGTATGTTCAGCATATGTTTTGAGAACCATATGTTGAACATAAGTTTAACATATGTTGAACATATGAATTTTCCGCAGTATGTTTAACATATGTTTAAAACCTATGTTAAACATAATTATGTTTAAAACATATATTGAACCTATAGCTGACTCAAAACATATGTTAAACATATGTTTGTGGTAACCATATGTTTAACATATGTTCAACATATGATTATTAAAAACATTTGTTTAACATATGTTTTGAGTTTGATACTTTTTACAATAAAACAAATCCAACATCAGAAAATGTTCAACAGCTCAATTTTCCTACCCACAAAGTTCACTAGAGTTATCTTACATTTTAGATAATTTATAATTTAATCGTTTGTCTTATCCACATTAATTTCTGGGATAGATTTATTTTGAACTTGCATGGATCTGCGCCAGATTTACATTATGCCTCATATGATTGACACGAAATTAATTTCATGTTACTTTTTAAACAAATGCAGTGCAAGTAATAAAAAAATAGATTTTTTAAAATGAATTTGAACGTTTATTAAATTTATTCTCGATGATTATTTCTTGTAGACACTCGCATACAAAGGAGTTACTCGGCATCCCACACTAGCTCTCTTCAACTCCTCACAATTTTTTTTTTTCAAAACAAACTGGTAGAAATTAAAAAATTATGCCCATCTTCCTCATACTCGCACTAAAGGTTGCCCTGTTTGATGTAATATTACACTATCTGATACCAACACAACACCGTTTGAAGTTGAAAAAGGTCATTTATTATCAAATGACAATTTTGTAAAACTAGTACAAAAATGAAAATGTAGTTTGATAGATTTACATTTATAAACCTTGCAGTGATACCAATATCACTACATGCAACTTCCAAATAGATCAAAACATTACTGTATAAAATTTTTACATCAAAGGTGGGGTAAGGTAAAAATGCCACTTACTGCCAATGACAGGCAGATCTGAACTGTCATCAGCAGTAATCCCCACCCAATCCTTAGTGCGAGTCTTAATCTTACTACAATAGAAGTATCCCTAAAATTCATACAAACTGGATACAAACAATGAAAAATAACACATTACCAACATACAAAGAAACTATTTCAACTCTTGTAAAACAATACCATATTATTATGCATGTACACAAACTTTGTTAGATGCATAATTACATCAAAACTTCACTACTTCTTGATAGAACCAGATGCTCCTGTCATCATGGTTGAAAATGTTTTTCTGAGCCAATGTCCTCTTTCCTGAAACAGATAATGTGTCACACTTGATGCATAATTACATCAAAACTTTACTACTTGATACAACCAGATGCTCCTGTCATCATGGTTGAAAATGTTTTTCTAAGCCAATGTCCTCTTTCCTGAAACAGATAATGTGTCACACTTGTTCACATATTTTGACAATTGTCCAAACCCTCATATTCTCTATTACTGGTTTGATATTTATTTTACAATCAGATGCTCTTGTCACCATGATTGGGTATAATTTGTGACACCAGTAGTTAACACACTTGATACACATCAACCAAATAAATTACTCACTATTTTATAGGAAATCATCTCAAAGTAGATTTGAAATGTCATGAATTATAATCTGACCAGATGCTCTTGTCACCATGATTGGGTATAATTTTGTGACACCAGTAATTAAAACACTTGATTGCAATCAACCAAACAAGTTAACAAATTACTCACTATTTTATAGGAAATCAACTCGAAGTAGATTTGAAATGTCATGAATTATAATCTGACCAGATGCTCTTGTCATGATCACCATGATTGGGTATAATTTTGTGCCACCAGTAATTAAAACACTTGATTGCATTCAACCAAACAAGTTAACAAATTACTCACTATTTTATAGGAACTCAACTCAGAGTAGATTTGAAATGTCATGAATTATAATCTGACCAGATGCTCTTGTCACCATGGTCATAACTCATTACCTCAACCTCACCTCGTGAGCAGTCAAAGGTTTACAAAGGGGATTCGAATGTACTTTTTGAAAGCGTCTGATGACCACCGCCTCATTGCTTTAATTTTTTGCTCTAGAACTCCATTGGAAAAAGCCGTTGTTGCTGCTCTGATTCTAAAGCTGTGACCTTTATATCGTTTACAATCTAACCCACACCAATTTAATGACAAACATAACTGATCTGTACAATATTTCCGTGACACCGGTTACCCATCCATGAAAGTAAAAAGAGGACCAGAAGTTGGTTTTCGTAATTGAAAATATGTCCATAGGGCCTGATCAGGACATATTGTGTTATCTTTGCTGTCATTTTTCACATGCACAGTGTAAGATTGACATTTACCATGTTTGAAAGTTTTCATAGTCAACTCCAACCCTATTGGGCAGTCTGGAGTATTTTCTAAAAAATGTACAGATTGTATTGTCAATAAATGACAATTTCTGTCTTTTGAAGCTGTAAATTCTACAATCCTAAGAAAACAGTGAAATGCCACTAAATACACACTTTTCATAAGTGTACAAAATATAAACTTGTTGTATACTGTAAAGAAGCTATCAGCTGTTTAAGAATGATTGGTGTTATAGGTAACCTAGGGTCCACTAAGCTTGTCTTATTCTTGTAACCTTGTAAACATTTTTTCGCTAAAAGTTGGGCCTTTCATATTCCTTATCTTATGTTGAATACTTAATGCTGAAACATAGGTTGCCAGTAACAATAAGCTATAAACAAAATGATATCTTAAGCTTCTGCTGGTACACCTTTCCTTGGCAAAACAAAATGATGACACCAAACAATGGTAATATTCAATTGCCCTTTGATAAGTATTATGAGTTGATGCTGCTAATGGCTGATTTATTAGGTCTGAAGCTATTGATTCTAAACTTTGAGATTGTCCTCGTTGTTATGACATGCTACAGGGTTGTTGTAGGAAATTTTTTGTAGGGACTGTGGAATCTGCTGGCGAGAAAGATGATCAGCTAAAATATTATCTAAACCCGGTACATGTCTTCCTTGAAATAAAATATTGTGTTTAAAATATTGCACTACTAAACGACAAACAAGAACCATTTGACTTTACTTTAGGTTTGTTTGTTGATGATGTGCACAACAGCATCATTATCCGTGAAAAAAATTTAATAATAACACACCGATTTTCTAACTGATCTGCCCAAAGCTGAACTGCAAGTACACTGGGAAATAACTCCTTTTATTGTAATATGATAGGTTTTCCAGGTTTTAGGCCATATACCACTAAAATACTGATTTCGTAAATAACCACAGAAACCAATGTTACTTGTATCCATATACAACTGTAATGAGTCAGAATTGTCCCATTGCTCTGATGAAAACAGTGATTTGCCATTGAAATGCTCCAAAAACAATCCCAAGCATTTAAATCCGCTCGAGCTTTCTTATTCAATCTCCTATGATGAAAAGGTTGAGTTAACTCAATTAACAGATCAATTAGCCGCCTAGGAAATGGGCGTCCTGGAATGACCACTAAACAGGCGAAGTTTAACAGACCTATTACAGACTGTAACTCTAGTAATGTTATAGATTTTTTAGACTTGTGAATTTGTATTAGGTGTCTAGCTTTAGTTACTGTAGATCACTTAATTTTCGCGACACCTTATTTTCGCGAGATAGACATTGACTCTTTATTAGCGAGACAAAATTTTCACGAATTGTGGTCATTGCTCTATATAATCTTAAGGAATTCTATTATACGCGAGAATGAAATTTTCGCGAGCATATCGTCTCGCGTAATTACGCGAAAATAAAGTTCTCGCGAATAAAAAGTGATTTACAGTAACTTGTCTTGTGGTAAACATGACTCCATCAAAATAGAATCCAACTCAATACCCAAAAATACAAGCGAAGTGCAGAGAAGGACAGTTTTAACTCCTTAATTGGAATACCAATATCCTTGAACAAAAACATGAACTAGTCTCCCATGTAAGCCTAACTTGTTTTCACATACCCAATGTACTGCAGTACTGAATTCTTCAAATAACTGACAAGAAAAATTAAGTCACATAGGGAGAGTTTTGTCAAAATAGTATTCATTGTCTAAAGTAAAACCCAACAATTCCCAATCTGAACAATGTATTGGAATGATTTTATATGCATTCTGAATATCCAATTTAAGCAACCCACAATTTTTCTCATATATGCGCATTAAACCTACTGCATCTTCTACCTCCTGATATTGAACAGATTTGAATTTATTATGAATACCAGAAACCCAGAATTTAGACCTACTTTGGATGTACCAAAACTGATAGCCAATGCCTCACTATGGATTTCTGAATTTAATGTTTGTTTTTTGGGCTTGATTTCACACTCCCCTTCTAAGATTTCACTGATTTCAAAGCTTTTATAATTATTCTTATTTTTGATTCCTAACAAATTTCCAAATCAACAAATTCATTTCCCCAGATTTTGCTTTTTATCTTAGAATCTACACCGAGACCCAATGGCTTAATGATACTGGGATTCTTAACCCCTGCGCTAAGTGATTACTCCTTAGATGCTGTTTGTTAATTAGTACCTGAATTACTTGGTAAAATTGCCATCTTCTAATTGGCTTGAATGATTGTTGCTTGTTGGAGTGTCACTTGCGACTTCCTCTTGTTGTAAATTAACTGGCTTTGTAACCACCCCCATAGTCTGTAGGCCTATTACCGGTACTCATCTCTGTAAATGGATGTTAGCATGTATGCCTAATTTATACAAATCATGTCAAGAATTCAACCTATCTATGACTGATAAAATTATCAGCTTTTGATTAATGTGGCAAAATTACTGTTGATTTACTCATCCAAATATTAGCCCATATCAGGCAATAGGATAAAATTACCCATTAGACCTGACTCTAGGGTAGTTCTTTATACCAATTATTGTTTATATCTTAAAACAATCTGTATAATTACAGTGTACTTGTGAAATATAGCTACACAATGTATCAAGAAACCATTGCAATATCACTTATTAATTCACTATCCCTAGTGAAGCATAGCGATAGAATTATCGCATTTATAACTTGATAGACTTATCAAGATTCAGCACTGATCAAGAAGTGATAAAATTATCACTAATTGTAAAGCATAGCGATAGAATTATCGCATTTGTAACTTGATAGAATTATCAAGATTCAGCACTATTGAAGATGTGATAAAATTATCATTAATTGCGATAGAATTATCGCATTTATAACTTGATAAAATTATCAAGATTCAGCACTGATCAAGACGTGATAAAATTATCACTAATTGTAAAGCATGGCGATAGAATTATCGCATTTGTAACTTGATAGAATTATCAAGATTCAGCACTATTGAAGACGTGATAAAATTATCACTTATTGCAATAGAATTATCGCATTTATAACTTGATGGAATTATCAAGATTCAGCACTGATCAAGACGTGATAAAATTATCACTTATTTTAAAGCATAGCGATAGAATTATCGCATTTGTAACTTGATAAAATTATCAAGATTCAGTAATACATTAAAATACCACTAATTGTTCAGTAATGTGGCAAAATTACCACTCATACTTGAACATGTGGCAAATTATCACAGGCTCTTCTGCAACTCATGCAGTAGAAAAAGTTTCCAGACTTACTGTTCTAAGTAAAAATAAATGCTTGATCACAAGTGTCCCTTTCTGTATTTCCCACTCTTGGACTGGCTCTCTACAATGCATCTAATATGTGATTAAACAGAAAACTGCTGAAAGTATAACATTGTGTCATATATGCATAATAAGCTTTTTTCTTTTTTTTTAAATCATTAATACCCGTTTTGTAAGCTGTTCTAAGTCACTAGGGTACTAAGGCTAAAGTACATATACATGTATTGCCTGTTTCATAAACTTGAGATGCAAATTAACCATAATTGTTATATGGCTAAATGACATACAAACTATTTATATAGCTATCACTTGTACTATGTATCACAGCACCCCTGATTGCCCTAATCACAAAAGTTATTCACTACAGAGTTCTTCAAGCCCTTTAACTTCCAGTACACAACCTGCCTTCTGTTTTTAACTTCTTCTTTTCAAAGTTGATTTGCCAAGACTATTTACAATACTTATTATATAAAACAACTCGGCAGTGTCTTGTGGAATATCTTGGTAACGACTGACACACATATATCTTATTTAAATGATACCGGTTTAAAAACAAGTCACATGTCGCCATTATTTTTGACACAATCTCCCTAACCGAATCCTCATCAGCCTGCGGCTGATCGATATCGTTTCCCGCAATATGTAAAGTTAGATTCTGTGGTCGGTTCCTTTGAATCTCCTCTTCTAGCACTCTAAAGTCCATACTTCGACCTATTCTGTCCCCACTAATCCCAATGACCGAAATCGCTACATTTTGTACATTAAATATAATTGTTTGAATGTTGTCTCTGAATTCTCGCATAATGATATAAGCGTCGAATGTGTAAGTCACCAAATATTAATACAGACATCTTGATGAAGGAAGAACACAGTACAAAATGTAGTAGTGTGTATAATATGCGTACACAATAAGTGTTTTAAATTTAATGTAAATAAATTAAACTACCATAATATACAAAAGTATAAAAAGCTTGATCCGTTCCTTTATATCCTTAGCCCTTTACCTGTACACCTGTATATAGATAATTAGTTACCTTAGGGCAGGTCAAAGGTTTTGGAGTGTTATTGGTTCTTATTGGTAGTTTTGGTTGTGAAGTTGGATTTCATTGGTTTTATTCTTATGGTCATTGGTTTTACCGCCAAAATATTCATTCTTTGTCTTGTTGAGTTAATGACCAAGACTGTATTTTATGGATTCTATGACTTTGACCTTTGGATACTGACAAATTCCATTTTCTGGTAAGTACTAACTTTCCTTATTACTAATTGTCAAGTAATATGTCTATTCCATAGATTTGCATTTATTAAAGATCCCAATTTCACTTCATATTAATTGAATGTATGACCATGAGAGAAAGATGTTATTTTTATGATTGGAATTATTGATTGTAAAGATCAGTAATGTATTATATTATAAGTGTAAATTGTTATATTCAAGTTACACCTTATATTTTTAATATCCAGATATTTGGTTGCTTTGTTCAAAGTGAACAGATGATTTTATTTTAAAGGAATATATATTTTAATGTATACTGTATTAAATTACAGAGTCCATATACATGTCATTTCAACTATAACCACCATATCATTGTGGAAGCCTTTTCCCACAGAATGGTGAGGAATTATTTGTTTTAATTATTACTATTTTTATGCCTTTATATGGGAGAAAATATGTAATGTCTATATATTGACTATAAGAGTTATCTCCCTTAATTGAGAGTAAATGTACATATATGTATATCATCTATAATATATCATTATGAATATGTTACTATGAGAGCTTCATGTATAGATGATTAATAGGATTGAATTGATGTGCTATTATATTGTTGTTTTATTATATTTCAGGGCTATAACATTTGTATTACATAAAGTGCTCACTGTGTCAAATAAATAAGACCTGAACCCTGACAGAGGCGTGTTTGTTTTCTTCATCACCACCCCCTGTTACAAAAACAATGATCGTTGGGACAACACAGGTTACGAATGATGAAAAATCGGAACGCACGTAGGCCTTCCACGTGTGCCAGGACCGAATTTCAAGTCTCGTCTTTTAACACTTACAAATGTGCTGAATTCCTTGGAAATCCAAAAGATCACACCACGAGAAGTCCATCAAAAGTATTAACTGTGCACTGGACACGCTGTAAGCCAACTTGCTTGTTCAAAAATAAAATTGTATTTCCATACAAATATGGCGCTGCCACTGATTGTACTCAATCATATACTGAGGCTGTTCCAAAAACAAGACCGAACAAAAGTATTAGAGTTATCTCGCTTGTCCCACTTTCAATACACAAGAAATGGGCATAAAATTATTTATGAACATAAATAGCATATAATTTTAATTTAAAACCGTTTTCATTTGGTTTATTCTGGACCGGTTTTGGTTTATTTTTGGCTGAAAGTGTACGTCACATTTGACGTCACTGCTGCAGCAGAAGTCTTTGGCGTTGGAAAAAGGTTAGTGCTTTCAGATATTTTTTGAAGACTTTTAGTTCATTGCGTGAAAATAAGTTCATTTTGGTTACAGATATGCGTATAAAAGTTTTGTGTAGCAGCATTCCTATCAACAAGTAGGCCTAACTGTTAAATCATAACGTTAGGCCTAATGCAGTTCGTAAAAGCCGAACCTGGTAGTGTTCTTTTTGATGAAAGAAAAAACAATATCAACCTACCATTACCAATTTTTTGTATAAAAATTTTATTTTCCTTTTGTCAACAGTTACTGTATACGGAAAAACTCCTACATAAGCAAATACATGGGCGCAGACATTTTGGACACCCAAAGTTGTGCGGAGGAGAAAATGCTACCTGCCGCGTGATTGGTCAATAAGAGAAAAAGACCTGTTATGTATTTGACAAGTGAAATAAAGTTGATAAAAATCTCAAATCAAGACTTGGGTTTCTATGAGATATATAGGAGTTACAGATAAAAATTTGAAGGGATGGGGTGCCCTTTGGTGACAAACGCACCTTGTTGTAAACAAATTGAAATTGAAAGTAAAAGTTCAACGGCACGGTATAATTTTTCTGGCATTTTTTGTTTTCCAATATCTCGAACTTTCACGGCAAAAAGGTCATTTGCCCAAAATTCAATATATATATATATATATGTATGAGTGACATGGGCTCAAGTTTGTATGGAAGTCTATGGGAAAACATTTGGTGGTGTTTCTCGTATAGAATATGTATGTATTTCATGGAAAAACATTGATTACAGCCAAAAAATCAATCAGTTCCTATTTTTTTGGCATTGAGATCATATTTCAGTAAGTGTTTACTATTTTTTTTTAAAAATTACAGGGTTTGGGTAAATTGAGGTTCACAATGGGGACTGCACATGGCGAAAAAAGGCCAAAATTTTTGCTCTCATATTTTCAATAAATGTACATGCAAATAATTTTAAATAAATATTTATACTGATATATACTGTGAATATTGTAAATAATACAATAATGATGTTAATGGGCAGCATCAATACACAAAACATACAAATATCCCCTCGCAGATTGAGAAATTCATTTAAATCCATGTATTTTATAAGTGCAGACATTGGAACATATTGACTGATCCTCTTTCAAATTTGTGTAAATCAGATTGGATTGAATAATTTATAACAAAATAAGACTGCTGTTAAGTAATTAGGTTACTTTGTTTTTACATAAGGGGCCTAATCCAGCAACAAAGCCAATTTAAGTCATGCAATCAGTGCTGGCTTGATATAAAAATTATACTCTGGGGAAATCTTAGAGATTACTAGTAGGAAATTTAATTTAAATTACTGTAAAATATATTTTAGCAGAAAATACATTAAAAATACAAGAAATTTGCGAAATTATTATTGCAAAAATGATGAAAAAAATGTCTGAATATCCTTCCTCCTTGCCAATTCCAGTCTTGATATTCTGCAGAAAAGAGGGGGGGGGTAATTTTGTACTCTAATGATGCTGGAAAATGAAGGAATTTTTTAAAAATGTGGTTTATTTGAACAACAAGAGTAATGCTTATATGCAGTATTTTTTCCTTCAATTTCTTAGATATCTTTTAAAATAATTATCTGAGTAAATTCTATTTAAATATGATTATTTTAAAGCTATTTCATCACTACTGCTTATAAAAAAATCAAAAGATGATGTAAAAAAAAATAATTATAATATAAGCTACTACATGCATAAATCAGTATGTTTTCATAAAATAAAATGTATTTCAGCAATGCATTCTCAAGAAGGAGGAGATTAATGAACCTTCCCTTCTTAAAATGATGAACACATAGACACTCTCAGGATGGTCCCTTTGCTTTCATTAATAGTTCCAAGGTATGGTTTTCCCAGAAAATCTAGTTAATCCCTTAATATTTAAGTTATTTAAAACTTTTTATAGATTATTACAAAATAAATTTCTTCAGAACTGCAGTTATTTAAGCACTTTGCTTACAATTGAGTACTGTATTCAATCAGACAATATGATTGATCTGCCCTTGGCATTTGATCAATTTATTAATTAGGTCAATAAAAAGAAATGATATGCAAATTAATATCTTTGGTTTTCATGAGAAAATACATATTTAACATCCATTACATAAAATGTTCATGAAAATTGGCTAAAATGTAGGTCACCCCCCTTCAAAATTACAAAATTCTCAGTGGGTATGTATTAGATTTTCTGATGCCAGCAACCCATTGCTGATAAAATTCTAATTAATATTATATCCATTTAAACTACATATAATTCTCTTTCTTTCCATTAATATTTTTATCTACATTAGTTTCACTCTTTCCATAACTCAGCATTTTCTTACAAAAACCTGCAGATTTTCTTTATTTTTCATTAATGTGTACCTGCTACCCTGAATGATTAACGTGTCTGTATTAAGTTAGTAGCGCGTTTTTATTCCCTCTATGCTTCCTTACGTTTGCTGCATATTTGCAGTAAACCTCATGTACATGGTAAAATGTTCGTTATATGCATGCTGCAAACACAAAGGCTTAGCATAGGCTGTCATGGTTTCTTTAACTTCATTGCAGCAATGTCTGCAGCAAGTTTGAAGCAAAGTCCGCTGTAGACGTTCAGGAAATGTTTTCAGGAAGATAATATTGTTGGTAATGGATCACAGAGCTTATTAACACTAATAAGTGAACAAAAACCAAGATTATCGAAATGAACTCCATTTGCGGCGGTCAAGCCTGATGTTCCTGTTCAAAATGATACATGTAGATCTACATGGCCGAGTGTATAGATCAGTTTAGATTGATTGATTGATTGTATGTTATTTTACGTCTCATTGTAGAATTTTTCACTCATATAGAGACGTCACCATGTACCAATGAAGGGCTTGAAATTTTGACATTTCCCGGCAC